GCTCCTCCATGCCTCTCAGTCTCTACTGCAGTACAGTGTTAAAGGCTGTTTCTGACTAATTGAATCAGGCAAAGACTCAAAACCTCCAGAGACCACTTCTGTCTACAAACTAATAGGATTCTGATTTGAATTGCCCCCAGGCAATTGTCCTCATATGTGGTGAGAGTTTTTTTCAACAGGGTGGGGCAGTTGCTTCTGCCTGGAGGCTAATTGTTACTTTTAATCTCTTAAATAGCCTCAGGGCAAGGTGTTTTCCAATAGGGTGTGTCGACTGTCTTACCTCCCCCCAAAGCCCCCCGCCAGGCAAGGCAGATGTCCTCCACTGTGTGAGGGAATGACTCAGCCCAGGAAACTTGGGGTGTCTGCCTTCTGAGTTCTATCTTCCAAGTCCCCAGTCCTGGGTTCTGCTCTCACAGCTCCAGTCCACTTCACCCACGCTCTGCCAGATCACAAGGTGGGTGGCTCCACAGGAATTTTTGTGTATTGGCCCTTTAAGAGGATGCCCAAACTTTCAGCTGCCACCCCTTGGCAGATAGCACCCCACTGCTTTTCACAGCTAGATGTTATGTGGGTACCCTCCTCAGTTTGGTGCTCTCTGCTGGGGAGCCCAGCTTCAGGATTAGATCCCAGAGTTCTCAGTGGCATCCCCCCACAACTGAGATATCTCTCTGGGACTTCAGTTGTCACCTGTGGTTGTCTGACCAGCCCTTTCACAATTCTGCCCTTCCTGCCAGTCTCTACGTGGTCTCCACCTTCCGTCCTTGGGTATCAGAGTTCTCTCCTGTGAGTTTTCCATTGATTATTCAGGTAGCCTTTTCGCATTTCCATTGTAATTCCAGAATTGTTCTTGGGAGCATGTCCGTGCAGCATCCTCCTACTCTGCCATTTTTATCTTCAAAAATATGGATTTTTCTTTTGAATATTTTAAAATTAGGATTGTTCTCTTGGGATTGGTTAAGTACAATTCACCTTAGAATTACAGAATTTTTTTCTTTCATTCTCACCTGAGGACATTTCTCCATTGACTTTTAAAGAGTGGAAGAGAGAAGGAAAGACAGAGAGAACCATTAATGTGAAAGAAACACATCGATTGGCTGCCTCCTGCATGAGCCCTGACCAGGGCCAGGGCTGGGGAGGAGCCAGCAACCAAGGTACGTGCCCTTGACCAGAATCGAACCCATGACCCTTGAGTCTGCAGGCTGACTCTCTATACACTGAGCCAAACCAGCCAGAGCCAGAATTTTTAAAAGTGTATATATGTATACATACATACATACACACACACACACACACACACACACACACACGTACATATACACACATATATACTGGCCAAGTAGCTCAGTTGGTTGGAGCATTGTCCTGATACACCAAGGTTGTGGGTTCAATTCCCAGTCAGGGCACATACAAGACTCAATCAATGAATGTGTAAGTAAGTGGACAATAAATCAATGTTTCTCTCTCCCTCTCTCTTTATCTCACCCTCCTTCCTCCCTCCCTTTCTCTCTAAAATCAATCTATCAATAAAGGAAAAAAGTAAGTGTATATATTACTTTTTTCCTTTATTGATTGATTAGAGGCCCGGTGCACAAAAATTTGTGCACTCAGGGGCGGGGGGTCTCTCAGCCCGGCCTGTGCCCTCTCGCAGTCTGGGATCCCTCGGGGGATGACCACCTGCTGGCTTAGGCCTGCTCCCCGGGGGATTGGGCCT